CAGCTAATGCCTGGACCAGATTATTCCCATCTCTTCCGTTCCCGTCAGCCTCCTCCTCCTTCCTTGATTGGATTTAAAGCTTGAAGGATAGTCTCTCGTCCTCGAGTATCCTACAAGTTGTTTACTTGTGCTGGAATATATGGAAAGTAAGAAACGCGTTGGTGTTCAGGGAAAGCATCCCTTCTGATTACAGCACCTGCATAGCTGCTACTCGAGAGTTTCAGGAATGGTCTTCATGCCCCGATCCTCCTTCCTCATCTCATCTCCTCCGGAGTCCGCCCAGAGGGCCCCATCATCAACCATGCCCACTGCCACGAAATCCCCAATTGGAGATTCACTGTGATGAATCATTTTTACATGATTCCCTGGAGGCGGCGTTTGGTCTTGTTCTCATTAACAACCAAGGACATGTTTGTGATGGACGGGCAGGCTCCTTCTTTTGTTCATCTCCGATTGAAGTGGAAGCAAGAGCACTCTTAGAAGCTATCATGTTTGCTAGGAACAGTAACCTCCAGTGTGTTGTCCGTTCGGACTGCGAGACCCTTGTCAATGCCCTCTCCTCTGGCCTAGATGCGTTGCCTTGGATATGTTTCGCATAAGTGGAAACTATGCAAAACATCATGTCATCGACAAATCTCATCAAGGCGGAAGCTTTTTCACGTCGCTTGAACTGTTGAGCGGATTGGGTTGCTAGGTCTCAAGCTCACTCTTCTCTCCCTCAAGACTGAATTACTATCCTAAATATCATTTCAGATCTCATCTAAGTGTACTTGCTAGTAACTCTTTCAATTATGAATGAAATCATACCATTTAGTAAAAAAAAAAAAACTACACGAAAGTACTAACAACATTGATGTTGATGTTATTATTGCCAAAGATTGTATGCGTTTTGGCACATCTTCCAATCACTCCAAAAGAAAACACGATGCTGTAACACCATCGCTCCACAACGTTCCTCAATTTTATTGTCTTATTCCTTTTTTCTTGCGAATGCTCACTATGGTGGGAAGGTCAACAAATCAGGAGGACATATATAGTATGGTTTCTTTTCATTTTAAGTGTGTTTCATGCTTATATATTTTGCAAACATGATACATTTAGATTCTCACCAAAATTTTAGTATTCATCGCAATTTGGATAATTAAAATTTTATTTATGTTGAGGAAAAAAGTGACCTGACGTGGTCATCAATAATGCTGCATTTTTGGGAATTTTTCCAGAAATACCACCATAAAAAAATAAATTCCAAATATACCACCCTTTTCAAAAAAAATTCAAAAATACCACTCTTTTTCACAAACCGCAGGGTGAGGGCACGGTTTGCACAAGAACCGTCGGATGTAGGCGTTTCAATACTTTTGCTGATAAACGCAGGGGGGAGCTGCGTTTCACATTATAACCGCCGCCCCCTGGGCTGTTTACAAATCACTTCCATTAAATAGTCATTTACCCCAATGCATACTCTCTACAACAAACCAATTCCATTAAATACTATAAATCTTCCATGCACGTCCAACACAATGCATGCCCTCTACCACGCTAATTATCATATATATAAGTACTAATTGATTAATTAATTATCATGTATATAACAATTGTATTATTATAATGTAATTATGTATGCAATTTAGTCCGAATAAGTAATTGAACTAATGATTGAAATACCATACTGTAACGGCGGTTCAACAAGAAATTTTTTCTACCGGAAGCTAAATCTGCAGGTGGTATTTAACGGTATCAGCCAAACTATTATTGTTTAATTCAAGGATTGAAAATCATACCGGGTTGTACCGTATAACTCAGTGGTAGGGTATTTTATGCTAAAATCGTTGTTTAGCCATGGTTCAACCGCTTCATACCATTAAATACCATCTACCGATTTAGCCTCTGGTAGAAGATTTTTCTGGTTGAACTGTCGTTACGATACGGTACGGTATTTGAATCCTTACTTTAATTATGTATCCATACTAAATTGCATACATATTACATAATAAGAATAATAAAATTATTATTAATTAATACAATTATTAATATTAATTAATTAGTACTTATATATATATATATATATATAATCGAAGTGATTATAGTATTTAATGGAAGAATTAATTAATTAATTAATTAGTACAATTGCATGCATTTTGTTGCACGTGCATGGAAGAATTATAGTATTTAATGGAAGGGGTTTGTTGTAGAGGGCATGCATTGGGGTAAAAGACTATTTAATGGAAATGATTTGTAAACCGCACAGGGAGGCAGCGGTTATAATGTGAAACTCAGCTCCCCGCTGCGGTTATCATCAAAAGTATTGAAACGCTGCCATTCTCGGCGGTTTTCTGGAAAACCGCTGCTACATTCGGCGGTTATTGTGCAAACCGTGTCCTCACCCTGCGGTTTGTGGAAAAGAGTGGTATTTTTGGAAATTTTTTGAAAAGGGTGGTATTTTTTAAATTTAATTTTTTTATGGTGGTATTTCTGGAAAAAGTCTGCATTTTTGTCTTGATTAATCTGGTCACAAGTTTTTTTTAAGCCAAAATAAGCCCCGGGACATGGTTGTACAACAAATTTATAATAAAGACAAGAATAAACAACGATAACTCATATACAACCGGACTCCGACAATAATTAATTATGGTCACTTGGGGAGCGTAAAAAAAATCTGGTCATGGGTTGGGATTAATTAAGGTGGTAAGATGGGGAGCGTATCTTCTATCCCCAAACATCTTAACGATGTCGTCTGCCTCGATGGACATCCACAAAGCACAAGTTCAGTTAGCACTCGTTGCCTTATCCCTTGGGCTGATTCTGGTAAATCAATATAATTGTTTAAGAGTTAAGATTGATTAATGTATGTTGTCAGAAGGGATGGTGTGCTCAAAATTTATTTGGCCCAAAAAATATGGTTTTTTAACAGCCTACTATGTCCCAGAAAATTGTTTTAACCGGATGCATTTTACCTTCTGCCTTTTCCTCATAGAGCAGAAAGTTTGAAATGGAAGAGTAGTTTATCCCATTTTACCTTTATATCTAGTATAGATATTTTCATTTTATTTTTTGGGTAAAACTTGGTAGGGGTGTAAACTTATCCTAAAATCCCCCCGACCCGTCCCGACCTTAAGGGTTGGGCTATTGCAGTTTGTCTACAGGGTCAGTTTAGAATTGCGTCATTTTTTGATCCTGTAAGGGTCAGGTAGAGTCTAGTAAGCCTAGGGTTGGGTCACTTTTTGACCATGTGACTCTTAGATATGAAATTCCACATACCAACACATTGGAGCTATTTGTAAAATTTTAAAAGTTTAGGTACTAAATTGTAAAAAAACATAGAGGGTACCAAAACGTAATTTTACCATCAAAATTTAAGAACTTATTTGTAAAAAAAAATTATGTGCTAAATAGTAAGGAAAAATAATTTTGAGTAGCAAAATATAATTTGTAAAAATCAGTTTGTGGATAAGGGGTGACCACTGACCTGACCCTCCCCGACCCTAGCGAGTTAGACAGGGTCAAGAAGAAAATAATCGGATCAGTTATTCATCTTAACCCTTTAGGGACAGGTTAGTATGGTCAGGGTCAGCTAATTTTAGCCCTAAAACCCAGCAGCTGCTTCTCTCATTTTTCTTTCCCCCTTTCTTTTTCTGGCTTTTCCTTTAAACATTCTTTGCATAATTATTTGAATCAAGCAACACAAAGTATGTTGGGAACCGAAATTCCTTATAAAATCACAGTATATAACCCATTCATTCATGAAACTTTGGGTCAAAACTTGAATTAGATGAACAATTGAAACCAAACAGGATAAAAGAGTTGTTTATCCCAATAGTCGGCTAAAAACAAAATGAATGTTGTTGCAGTCGAATCCATCTGTAAGACCACCTTTCAATTTATGAATTCATCCCAACTGGATGAAGAGATATATGGTGGTCAACATCCAATTTAAACAAATTGAAAATTTTGGCTGATAAATGATATTTACCTAAACCCAAGTAGACCCATTGATTATGGGTAAGGTATAGGTGATGTATCTGTGGGTTTGGAAGTTTGTAGATGAGTTTGGATAGGGTGTGGATATTTACTTACATAATGTAAATGTGTATGAGTTGGGTATGGATACCCATTTATTCGAGAGTGTTTTAATTACACTTACAAAAATTAGGCCTATTTGTAGAACTTTAAAAGTTTAGGTACCAAAATGTAATACAAGAAAATTTTAGGTACTAAAATGTAATATTCCATCAATACTTTGAGGACTTATATGCCAAAAAATAAATTTATGTTATAAATATAAAGATCTATTAAGTTAAGATACCAAAATTTAATTTGCATAGTTGAGGCTTAATTCCTTTTTTGTTGATGTATTTATGATGATAATTATTTACTTTTTTTATAGAAAAATGAAAAATATTTATTTGATATGTGTAGATGCCTAGCCAAACATTCCATGTTTATTTGTAGAAAATTCTATCCCGGGTTAAAAAGAAAAACTCTAGAGTGAAGCAAAATGAATACAAACTAGAACTCGCTTAAAATTTATTGCCTTCAAATACCATAGTGGAAAATGACGACTTTCTAATAAGTAATCACCACATATATTTATTTTTACTTGGACTCGACAGTGTGCTGAAAAAATTAGTAGTTCATGGTTCAATTATTAATTCTCTTGACTGTTGGTGAGTCGTGTACTGACCCGTTTGTACTTGTGATTAGAATACATAAAAATAGTATACTAATTAGGATTAGACGAAGAAAGCAAAGAAAGAAATAAAGAAAGGAATATAGAAGGCGAGTGAAAAATGAAACGAAAAATAAGTAGATGATGGAAAGGTTTTGACCAATTCTTGTAGTTGGCCGTCAACACAACAATCAACCCTTTACACCGTAACAATTTATTGACACTTGCTTATTTAGATATAAAATATCATATATTTTGTTACATGTAGTTCGCAGAAGTTTGTTTAAATGTACTAAATGATTTTATAAATTCCCTCTTACAATATTCTAGAGTTGTCTCTATTTTATCATTTATTTAATATTTCACGTAATGAGCAATTATAAAATGGTAGAATCTTCTCCTGCAGTTGAGTGATACAACATCTTGTATGATACAAACTAAATTTATACTTCTATGTTATGATGGATTGGATTCATGGATTGGTTCAAAAGGATTGATGGATTGGATTGATGGATTCAAGTGAAATCCTCGCATTGGACCAATATGTAAATTTAAAAAATTGTATGTACCAAAATCTCATAAAATCTAATTACAAAAACATAATTATTCAATGATTTTACATTAAAATTAAATTTGGGGATCAAAATGTAAAATATTAAAGAGACCAATTTGTAATTTGTTAGACAACGACACATCCACAGCCACAGACTTCTTGATGAAGTCATACAAAGCCACCATGTCCTTCAAGGGATCAAATCCTTTCCTCTCGGCGAACTCGATCAGCCCATTCAACACCGCGATATCGTTGTTCTCACCCCATAACCACTGGAAGAGCACTCTTGGCATATTTTCCTTCTTACCATCGCCGTCCATGTCGATTTCCGCCACCTCTTTCTGCCTCTTGGCGTCCTTTGCTTCCCTTTCAGTTTCACTCGCCCTTTTTGTCGTCGGCGTAGATTTTGAGGAAGAGGCAGGAACCGAATGCACTTGAGCTTTAGGCTGGGGCTTGGAAGCGATGAGCAGAACGCCAGAGCTCTTCGGTGGCAGATCAGAGTCGGAATCCGTGTCGGAAACGTGCTTGGAGTCGGAATCGAAGCTTGGAACCGCTGGCTACTTCAGTTGACAGGGCGCCTGAGGCGGCAGTTCTTCGTCATTGGTGGAGGAAGTATCATCATCTTCCTCAGAAGAAGCAGGAGATGGAGGGTCTTCCTTCAGATTCGGCCGTTTGGTAGCCATGCGAGGTTCCGTAGTGGTTGCTAGGGCTCGCAGATTAGGGGATTAATTTAGGAGAATTCGGCTTCCGGCTGAAACAATGGGCCGGGATAATATATAGGGATGATATGGTAATATAAGATGCCTAAAGTTCAAATATGTAGCAAAATGGTCACTACATTGCATTATTATTTAAAAAGTCAGAAAAACTATTTCCACTAATATAGACTCATTTTACTATTCATACATACTCGAAATTACTATTCACCCAGTTCTGATTGGCTACTCGCTTGCGGTGGGCTGTGACTTGGCTATGTTATGTTGGGATCCACGTTGGTTTCACGTCGGCCGGCCTTCTATTCTATTCTCTGGGCTAACACTGGTTTGGTCTTGCTGGTCATGATGTCATGGTCTAGAGAGAGGAAGAGGGTTGTTGTTGAGGTTGCAAAAAGGAGGGGTTCTTTTCTTGGTGCAGAGAGCTGGAGAGAGAATCTTTTTTACCAACCTCTAGTTGGTTTTCTTTTTTTTTCGTTGCTTTTTCTACTTTGGGCTTGATGATCTCTAGAGTTGCTTTGTCATAGGTACTTTTGATGCAGAATCCGTGACGGGACAGAAGGGACAAAGGAGACGGACATGAATCCCTGTTTGAGAATTGCAACGCCTGCTTGGATTTGAAGAGCATTTGAATCACATTTTCTATGGTTTCAAGCTTTCGTTCTATGATGGGTAAGAGCCATAGAGGAAGACGAATGGATCCACGACGGAAGAGAATCAGTGGACTAATTCCATCTACAACTCTTCTCTTTTCAATTCTTGTGTCCCCCAATTATTTATCCCAATTCCGTCTTTTCGGATCCATTACTTATGCTTGCTGCTTTTGAACTTGATTCTGTTATGAAGAGTATATCTGCGATCTGAACTTTGAATCATCGAGAATGATGGACCGGAGCTGACGCATTTTTGTACGAACTAATCTCTCTTACTATCCTTTCCTTTCATTTGGGGCGTCAATCTTTTTTTTTTTTATTTGCTTACTTTCTAATTTCTTGGTTCGATTTTTCTTCCAGTTCATTGTTGCACTGATGGGAGGAAATTTCACTTGGTGTCAAATGTGATGTCGTGTGATGACTGTAGGAGTTGTGATGTAAAGACCAACTAGTAGAAAAAATGGTATGTAGTGTCCTGAGTAGTATTTTCCGCTCTGTTTGGGGGGGGGGGGGGGGGGGGGGGGGGGGGGGGGGGGGGGGGGCGTAAAACGCAGGGAGGAAGTGGGGATACTGAGGGACTTCCCAGTTTGGATAATTTAGAACAGGATTAGGGGTGGGAAAAAGGGGGGCAAATTCACTATTTGGCTGTACCCCTCAAATCGGGGTGCAAAAGACGGAACGAGAAGGGGATACGCCATCTTCCGCCGTCCTCACCGCCACCGCCGCATATTCCTCCATTTTTCCTTCAAGTCGACTTCGACCGTAAATCATCCTCATTGCCCGAATGATTTTTTTATTTCTTCATCGTCGTTAATCCCCTACCGCAGATTCAACACTGTCAACCCCCGCTGATGAATCCGTCACCCCGAATCAGTTGTCGCTGAACTCCATCGATTGAGGCTCCAATCAAACCCCGTCGTTGATTAGCCAGTGATGCATTTTCGCAAAGTAGATCAAAATGAACCCCCCTATTGCGGTTCTGCATGCCTCCACTAGCTGTTTACTGGCGAATATCAGCCTCTGCTGATTCGGAGGGATTCTGTACTTCTATTGGTTCTCTGCAGATCAAGAGGAATTGAAAGAGAGAGAGAGAGAGAGAGAGAGAGAGAGAGAGAGAGAGAGAAGCTTGGAATCAGTTGGGGAGGAGCCAATTTGTGGTGAGATAAATTGGGTGGTGCTAAATAAGTTTGAAAATCAATGAAAAAGATGAGGATGCTATGGGCTTTCTCTGCTTTGGGAAAGGGGAGAACGAGAACGAAGAAGGAAAGGGGAGAAAAAACAGAGAGAAAGGAAGAGTGAAGACGGTGAGAGAGAAAGAAAGTTAAAAAGAAAAGGAATAATGTTTTTATTTAAAAAGTTAATTAGTTTTTAATATAATATTATAATTTATATATTTTTTACATACCAATTATGAAACACCCTAACTTGGCCGGGTACTAATTTTACCAAAATTCCCTTGATAAATCATAAACCAAAATAAGAAACGAAAGACTTGAAAAAGAAACAGAAGCTTTCCATATATAACCATAACAAATACTGAAGTAAACTGAAATCTCTTAAAACAAAGCCCTAACACTTGGGCAAACCTCAACCATAGAATATTAATCTGAATCTCTAGTCACTACTCATAATCGTAAAGCAATAACTAAAACTCTACTTTGTTGTCTGCTCGGATTCGATCTCTGGCACCTTCAGTGACGCTTGTACTATCCTCCTCTAGCTGGCTTGCCTCAAACAGCTTTCTCAATCTCGCTGCTCATTAACTGCTCCTCTAGTTGCAACTATCGATCCAGTTCTCGATTATTCCTTTACTAAGTCCTGGTGAGTGAGATGGGGTTAGTCTACGCCCTTACGTTTTAATACTTCTAATACTTGAGTACTTAAAGTAAACACTTGACTTTAACTCGTGGAAGTTGTTTGTACTTCCATTCTTAAAAATCTTAACTTTTAAAAATGTATGGGAGTTACTGGTACTCTCCATTCTTAAAGCTCAAAGCTCAAGTCACGTGCTTTATGTTATTGATTTCTCTATTATTTCCTACCTTTTCTCAATTGTGTCCTCTATACTTATTGCTTTGGTTAATGACTAATGTAGGTGTTTCGCTGTGAAAACTCGCGTGTTTAATACACTCTGTTCTCAAGGAAAACAAGAATACAAGATCAAATATCAAACCACCGTTACCCAGTCCACACCTCTCCAAACTATGTTCAAACGAGGGTGTTAGACGAATAACGAGGAACCGAACAAGGATTTCTAAGTTACGTTACCTCTACTCCTATGGAGGTTCCTCTAGAGAGCTTCGATACTACGAGTACAAACTACTACGACTCTGCAAATGAGATCTTTGACAGAGAAATTCTACGCACTAGAGAGAAAAAAGGATAACTTGCGACAATGCAACTTAGAGATTTTATTTTTCCCCCGAGTTTCTCTCTCTTTCAGTAGTTTACACCCCAATTTTCTTCGTAGTTGCAGTAACCGCCTCTGCTCCGTCTCTATCTCTCACTTTCTCCATTCCTCTTAACCGTGCGGGTAACTTCCACCTTGTTGTGTGGTACTCACGTGCACTCGAAACCGCTCTGCAAAGAAACTTGGCAAAATGACATTGAGCCAAATTTTACATGTCTCCAGCACAGTTCGATACTCAAAAACCACCTTGTCTAGGCAACGATGCTGCTTGACCTCAAATCTGAGTCTTCTGTAATGCTGTCATTGTGAGAAACAAATCTCCATGTTGTCAAAGTTATCTCAACCTGCATATGTGGGTGAGCCAACCTCCACATACACGTGACGTGGTTTTCGACTAAACAACATCGCTTCTTGACCAGGCAACACCGTTGGATTAGCATCAAACTTTCACCAACTTTGATCCGAACTGCATGACCACTGATGTTACGGCCTTGTTTTCCTTACAGCAACGCCACTGGCGGTGTTACCACTCGCATTGCCGCCAACTCACAGCATCGGTGGCGGCAATGCGAGTGGTAACAACATTGTCGTTAAACTCTCTTGCGACGTTGTCATAAACTAAACAATGTCGCTTCCTAGACTCGCGATTTCGTTGAGCTTTCTAGCAACTCCGCGGAACTTGTAACAACATCGTATGGTCTGACTGAGCTCACACGTCTGGCCTTGAATCACAACGTTGTTCTCCATGACACTACCGCGTTGTTGGACCTACAAACTAGTTTTCAACTAAAACAATGTCGTTTTATGATATTGTGCCACGGCCGTGCTTCACGGCGTCGTTGAGCTTTCAGCCCTGCTCCGCCGTTTTTATGAAACAACAACGTGTTTCGTTGGATCTCAACTTCATGCGGCATTGGTTTTGGTTAAACAATCTCGGTACAAAATCTCAACTTCGCAACATTGATGGCCTGGCCTCGTTTAAATATTTGAACCCACCAACGTTGTTCTCTAAACCAAACAATGTTGTTTTCTTTTTTTCCTTAAACAATATCGTTGGACTTGGCGGCCCTTGGGCCAAGCTCTTACCCACTGCGAAATTGTTTTTAATAAAACGACATCGCTCACCAATGTCGTGGCATTGCTGATACCTCACGCGATATCATTTTCAACTAAAAGACATTGTTTCTTGTTCTCCTCGTGGAGGTGGAATATATGTCATAATGATGTTGGACTCCGCGACATTTCTAAACACACGCCTCTGACGAGCTCTTGCCATCATTTTTTTATTTGAATAAACAATATTGTTTTTAATTCCACAACGGTGTTGTCACACAAATCCTCTCATTCTTCGATAAGGAATAAATAACACTCCTTTTCCAACCCCATGACCAATATTTCAAATTTGAACGAATTCGCGGCCCATGGAACACGACCTTGTTTTCTACTACACATTGTCATTTCAAATACCGCGGCGTCGTTGGGTTTACCCGTAGGTGTCTTTTAACCCCTCCGCGGCGTTGCTTGTCTCACAAAGGCGCTGTTTTTTTATCATGTGAAATCAAATTAAATGCAGAGTTCGTTGTTTTTCTTCCTTCATGGGTCTGCCTTTTATAGGCATAAAAGACTATATACATTCACCCATCTTAATGGTGAAGCAACTAGCAGTTGGGGAAGGAATTGCTGGGCAATGTACATCCCACACAATATATATATATATATATATTCCATATTTTCTATTTTTTTTTTTTTTTTACAAAAGATACTTTGTATTGAATTAGATATACTAGAGTTAGCTGGACGACCAGAGCCAGTGGCGAAAATCGAACCCTATCAAACTAGGTAAAAATGAAAGATATTTATTTGATATGTGTAGATACCTAACCAAACATTCCATGTATAATTGTTGAAAATTCTATCCTGGATGAAAAAGGAAAACTCTAGAGAGAAGCAAAAGAAATACAAACTGGAACTCGCTTATAACTTCACCCCTTCAAATCACATAGTTGGGTTCAATTTATATATGCACAGACATTGGC